AAAATCTTTTGACACAGAGGTATTTAAATGGATTTCCCTGAAATATAAGAAATTACCTCCATTTAAGAATAAAGGACTTTTTGCATAACTGACATAGATGATATATTAAGACTTTAAAAAAAAACCTTTATAATTACAGAATAAGCACATAATATGGCCTTAGTTGGCTAGACAACATCAGTCTCTTCACCATTTTTAAGCTTCAGAACATTTATGGAGACAGCTCTCATTACTTTTGAAAAGCAAAATTCCAAATGGCACCCACTGACAACCTGGCAAAAAGCCACAACTGCTGATGACCTCCACCACTTCCAAATGTGACAAGCTAGGAAAGAGACAGTGCTCATAACTATTTAGAATAATTGGAATCCCTACAACAATCCCTAGGGCAAAAAAACAACTAAAGGTGGAGAGGAAATTTCACCAGCAGACAGAAGGTGACTTGAGAGCAGAATGTATAAGCCAGGACACATGCTGCAGATCCCAAGGAAGGGTCTTCCTATGAGAAAGAAGTTTATGCACCTGAGGAACATAGACTTGGGAAGATGGCCAAAGAAACTTAAATCTGCAGGAAGTATGGCTCAAGTGGTAGAGTGCCTGCCTAACAAATATAAGGCCCTGAGTTCAAACCCCATTACTGCCAAAAAGAAAAAATAAACTTAAATTTTCTTTTGGCCCAAGAATGCACACCAAGAATTCATTTGATTACCAATATTAAATAATTTTATTAACTGAAAATTTCCAGCTAACAGCTTATGACCAAAGTGCTTGAGGGTGGAGATGCCCAGTTTTCCCATAAAGTATACAGCTTGGATTTAGAGAAACAGAGTCAAGACAAATATAGCAAACCCATGTTCCATGACAATCAAAAACATGGGTACCCAATACATAGGTAATAACATCCAGATCTACTGAACTTCAAGTACTCACTGAAAGAGATACACCAGAAATTCCAATATACTGTACGATACAGAGTTAGCACTCAAAACAATCTTGTTGACTGGCCTAAAACAAAAACTGCCACCCACTTGTATTCACCCCTAATATCCAAACTTTATCCTGCCCTCCCTTCCCAACACTGCATTTTTTTCTTTTAAACACATCAACTCTCAAGTACTCAGACCTGAACACCAAATTTGGAATACAAAGGTAAACAACTGTCATACTTGCCTGATTTTAGTTAGTAACATGTGTTTCTGGTAGCAGTGCTATCTGAAAGGCCACCCCCACTTTTTCTTTTTTTTTACAGTAAAACTTACTGGCCTCATATATCTAGCTCATTCACATAACTCATCTAATATCAGCTTCTCAAAAACCCTGAAGCACAGCATTATTACCCAATGTTTGGGATTGGATGCTGACGACTGAACTCAGTGCCATGGGCCATCATAAAAAAAAAAAACGTTCTCTACCACTGAGCATCCTCCCAGCCCAATACTCAAATTTTATATAGGTAGAAACCGAGGTTAGAAAAGTTGTGTGTCTAAGATTACCTGGACTCCACAGGACTCAAACCGAAACCCATACCCTCCATCTTTCTGAACATTTATGTAATTTAAAGGGTATAATAAAAACTATAACTGAAAATGAGGACTGCAGGCTTGGCTCAAGTGGTAGAGTGCCTGCTTTGCAAATACAAAGCCCTGAGCTCAAATCCCAGTCCCACAAAAAAGGATACTAATATTCTCCTATATACAGGCTCACACTTGCAATCCTAGCTACTCAAGAGGCAGAGATCAAGAGGATCACAATTCAAAGCCAGCCCAGGCAAATAGTTCTCAAGAACCTATCTCAAAAAACCCTTCACAGAAAAGAACTGGTGGAGTGGCTCAAGGTGTAGACCCTGAGTTCAAACCCCAATACTGCCAAAAAAAAAAAGAAAAAAAAATTAAATAAATAAAAATGTAAGCTAACCTACTAAAAAGTACAAGGAGAGTGCTGAGTTGTGGGTTTCTCATTTCTTACCCATGTTTTAGAGCATCCGCTACTTACCAGATTGTATCTCCCTCAGGAATATAATATTATCTTTGCCCACACAGAATGACAGTTTATTTGCAGAAAAAGGCCATCCCTACAGTTTTAAGAAGCAATAAAATGTGTTGGAAAGAAGTTTTAGATATACTCATCCATGAACCTCAGTGTTTCTTATTAGCTATGAACTTTGGACAAGACACAACTTTCCTCAACTGTAAAGTCACAATAAAAATCTACCTTTTATGGCTCTTAAGAAGCTTAAATGAGAAAATATATGAAAACTATTAGGAACCTAAGCTTGTGCTAGCTATATAGTAAAGAATTAAGTACCAATGAGTGGAATTATCAGTAAGTATTATAGGGAAAAAAAATCTGCTTTAAAAAAAATCAAAAACAAAAATTGCAATCCTTATACTTGACAACTGATAGGTGGGGATAGCTGTTATCATCAGTCAATTAGGTCTATCATTTATAATAGCAGCAGAGTTAAACATATAGATGGCTCGTATTTGAAGTACAAAATTTAAACAATGATAAACCAGAGCATAACTATGTCTTGACAAATGTGCAACTTTTCTATAAATATAGAAGTATACTAAAATAAAAGGCTTTTTTTAAAAAGTGGCTGTATCTATAAATGACAGATACATACAGCCACTCCTAGGTATTGCTACTTGATTTAGAAATCTCCTGAGGACAGTTTGCCTCAACAGCAAAGGCAGTTAACATGCACCTACTCTGCAAACTATTCTAAAACCATTTAGCTATCTGAAATACCTTGAGTTTACTAAGTATTCCTAATTTTTAAAGAGAAGTGACTTGTCTCCTTTCCCCTTGCAAAATACTGGTTTTGTAGTATAGAATATTGTTGTTACAAAAACTAGCACATTTCTAAGTTATCTCTGCCTTTCTAATCTTGAATAAGGCATTTATTCAATCAAAACATAAGAAGCATCTCTAATCACACATGTAAGTTATAACACGAATTTGAAAGTATAATGACAAGTGACATTTCTGAGTTCAGTGCTAAAGGCAGGCATAAGGGTCCCATTTGTTTCCATAATAATGCAGGCAAGTCAGATTCTCTTAATCTGTTGTCCAATATTTAAAGAAGAGTTAATAAAGTGATGCAGAACTCACGAAGGCATTTTTTACTCCCTGGTTCAAATGACAGACATCACTAACTTAAAACAAAAAGTACGCCTACATTTACTGAGAACATTAAGTGGTTGTGAACTTTACTAGCTGTGTGTTCAGCAAGATGGCTGAAGCTCTCACATGCTGGGGTCTACAAGGAAAGGTTTACTTGCATACATACCAGAAAGCAAATCCTATGCTACAAATTGGCGACAGGTTTAAGGCAGCACCAATTTCAACGTGTACACCCTATACACACCGGTACATACAGGCAATGTTACAGCTCAGCTCAGTTAATGTTCATTCTCTTAGCTCTTTTTTAATACACATGTGGAATTTAAAGGGCAATTTCAAATTTCAAAGAAACCTTAATAATCTTTTCATATTTCAAAGGAGGAAAAAATAAAACAGCAATGCAGCAAAGTCATTTTTCCGGCTAATATGACCTCCAGCTTCAACAGACTATTCCTGGTTTCGCAACAAATGAATCTGAGACTCAAACCACGTACGCCCAGAGTAGCAGCTGAGAACAGAAACGCTTCCTCAACAGTCCTGGCAAACCTACCCGCCTCGCCCCAAGCTTTCCGGGTGGCCTTTCCCGTCCATCCCACACATGTACCTCGACACCGACCACTAGAAGAGAACGGCGATTAATCAGCAGTCAAAATCTTGTCTTAATCATCATTCACAGCCACTATCGGGGAGCCAGAGTACTACTAACCTGATTTCAGGGAGGCAGCACTAAACCCAGCCGGGCACAGGGACATACATCATACAAGTCTGAAACGCGAACCCAGCAAGACGCTCCAAGCAGCTCAGACGTCAATAAACGCCAGGGGGTTCGCAAATAGGATCTCAAAAATCACATTTCCACTTCCAAATCACCCATCAACGCCGCAACTTGCCAGGACCCAAATTCGGCTGAAGCAACCCGGTTAATAAGAAGAAGCATGTCTTACCTTGTACAAATCTCGACATTTTATTAAAATACTCTGGCTTATAATTTATTAATTTCTAGAGGAGTCACACTTATAAGGGCAGGTCTCTCTTCTTCCCCGCTCTAAAAACCGACGTGTTCTTTCTCCGCCTATGTTCAGCTACTTAAGGGAGTATTCATGCAAAGCGATTAAAACTGGCCTCCAAAAAAAAAAAAAAAAAAAAAAAAAAGAAAAGAAAAACAAGAGACACCCAAGGCAAATGTCTGCCAATTCCCAAAGACGAGAAACTTGGTGCGATCAAGTCAGCTTGGGAAGTCCTGGCTGCCCCGCGCTCTTGACACAAACCAGGGCCAGCTGGAGACTCCCGAAAAAGGTAAAACCACACGAACTTAAATTTCATCAATGAAAGAGGCGGATCTTCGGAGGCTGTTCACCGCCCCTCGCTCTCCACGCCCTCTGGGCTGGACTGCAGCAGGCACCCGGCCGCACCCGGCTGCCCCCTCCCCGGCCTGCCGTCCAGCCTCTGGCGGGCTCCCCGGGAAACCCCGGCCCGCTGCGGCTCCCGCCCACGCAAGGGTCAGAGGGGCGGCAATGCAACCATTTTTACCAACCCACAAATATCCCGGGCTGCAGGCGCCGTGAATTCCGCAAACTCGGGCTAACCAACTGGCCGGGGCCTCTAAATACCCGCCTTCCCGGGAGAGGCAGATGGCCATGTCGCCATTCGTTCTCTCCCCGCCCCCCGCCATTACCACCACGGACACCAAGAGGCCAGCGGCGCACCCCCGCTCTTCCCACGCATTTTCCTGTCCCTCCTGCCCGGCGCTCTTCCAAATCCCAAACTGGGCCTCCGAGGCCACGCAGCGGGTGCGGAAAGGGGTTTCGCACCTCTTGGAGAAGGTCGCCAAAAGCCCGACCCCGCCCCTCCGCCAGCCGCCCCTCGAGACCCACCTTCCTCTCTTCCTTTAGCAGCTGGGAAATTGGGGGCGTTTATGGTGCGCCGGGAAGAAGGTTCGCAGGCTGAGGAAATGTCACCTCTCTCCCCCTCTTCCCTCACACATGCACACCTTGGGGCCTCCGGCAGCAGTCGCAACCCAGCTGCGGAACCCCGCTGCCCACCAGTCTGCGGGCTCCCGACACCCAAATCCCCCACTTTCTCCCAAACACTTCCCCTCCCCCTCCATTCGGAGTGGGCCCCTCAATGCGGAAATGTCCCTACGGCACAGACCGACAGGCGCGCCCGCCAATCAAGAGCCGAGGCGAGCGTGTGACCTGGCCAATCAGATGTGCGGAAGTGGCAGGAACGGGGCATTTGCAGCTCGAGGAAACCCGGCGGAGGCGGGCGCTGAGGCAGACGCGGGAATTCAGCGCGTGGGAGCCGCACTTGGGGCGCCGCGGCGAGGGATGTCTTTTCAGTAACGCTTGCAAGCCTTGTGCAGATACCCCGGCGATAGGGAGAACCTAAGCAGGAGTGTGTAAAATTGTTCCCGCAAAAATAACCTGAGCGCATGGAGCCAATGTTTCCACAGTAGCTTCCTGAGAACCCAGGTCTTCAACGTGGCGCGAAGTCTGCATTGAGGGGGGTGCGGGGGCAAGGAGGCGTCCAGAAGTGAGCAGTGGGATGTGTGTGCCTTCTAAAAGGAGGGAGGGATTTAGGGCTTCAAAGAAATGCCAAATGGTGGCTTCCCCGCCAGAACCACCTCTGCCCTCCAAGTCCATTGCTGTAGAGATTTGTGCTGTGATGGTCGTTTGCTTTTCTGATTGTGATTTACCTTTAAGAGATTTTATTTTTAGAGCAGTTTAGATTCACAGGAAAATTGAGAGAAAAGTACATATGCATATCTTCCCTCATTATCAAAATCCTCCACCAGAGTGGTACATTTAATACAAGCGATGAACCTACGTTGATACATCACAATCGCACAAAGCCTGTAGTGTATCTTAGTGTTCACTCTTCATACTGTATATTCTATGGATTTGGGCAATGTATTATGTATTCACCATTACTATATCATACAGAGTATTTTCATTGCTCTAAAATTCTCTATGGTTGCTTATTCATCTTTCCATTTACAGCCCCTGGCAACCACTTATTTTGATACAGTCCCCACGGATTTGCCTTTTCCAGAATGTTGTATAGTTGGGATCATAAAGCATGTCACCTTTTTCAGATTGGCTTCTTTCACTTAGTAATATGTATGCTTTTAAGGCTCCTCCGTGTCTTTGCATGCATGACTTGTTAACTCATTTTCTTTTAATATTGAATAGTATTCCATTGTAGATGCACTATAGCTTATTCAAGCTTTGACAATTACAAGTAAAGCTGCAGTAAGCATCATCTGCCAATTTTTCTGTAGACATACATTTTCAGTTTCTTTCAAGGAAGTGAGCTTTCATTGTAGCAAAAGCATTTGGTAATTCCTAAGAATGACATCTTGATTTATGAGTGATTAGATACTGAGATAAGGTACCAAAGGATGTTTGTACATTTAGTGACTCAAGAAATCTCCAAAAAGTAAGTGACTGCCATCTTTACTGGGTAAGTGTGTAAACTACTCAGAGGCTGGTTCTAGAGAAGTAGCACTCCAGAAGCCATATGCCCAAATACTATTTTTCATATAGTACCCTGCAACGGAATCTCATTATATGGAAGCTTAAATTTAAATTCTGAACCCTTAAACACTCTGTAGAGAATTTTCCCACTCCCTCAGAGCCACTAGGAAATACCTTACTTGACAGATCATGAAGGAATGTGGGGTGGGGGGCTGGAGATGTGAGGCTCTTCAGGACCATGTTGCCATGGCCTGCTTAGAAGGCAATTACCTGTTTCTCTACATTTCAGCCTCTTAAAAAGTTCTTGCTCTCACTCTCTTGCTCTCTCTCTCTCTCTCTCTCTCTCTCTCTCTCCTCTCACTCTCTGTTTTCATCCTTTCATTCATAATATACTCCTCTATAATATCCCTTCATGGGGTAAAATTTTAATGTCGGTATCACTCAAAATCTGTAATATGGATAGTTTTACAAATAAAACCTTTTCAGAAATTTGGGGTAGGTGATCTAAAGGAGGATAAAGATGGGGGGGCTGGGAAGTAGTATGTGAGCAGAGATAAGGAGTTGAAATGAGATGAGCTGCAAACTAAAAAGAACCCTGGAAGCCAAGTTTTCTCTGGTACCATATGCTACTATCCAAGGATGACAAAAATTCTGTCTCATTCTTTCTTTCTACTTCCCCATAGAAATATGAGAAAATTCATTTCGGTTTAACTAGTCCTGTGTCCCGGGATGTATAACAACCTCGCCACATCTTTTTCTTTTTTTCTAGGCAGGAATTTTCAACAACAAGGAAACTGCTTGCTGCCTATTTTTAAGCATGCATTTTGGTGCATCTTTAGATTTAGTGCTTGATACAGTGTCTGGTACGTTGCAAGCCCTCCATAAGTATATATTGAATGGCCAGTTTAGTGCCACTGCATCTTTTTAACTCACAGTATTACATCCTGCTCTTTACTCTCTGAAGGCCATAAATAAGAATTTTAACTTATATTTAGAGGTAAAAAATTTTAGGTTTCAGTTATTTCCCCCTAGAATATAAACCTGTGCCAAAATATAAGAGTAATAGCAGCAAATATTAACACTGGTAATTTTATGGCAAACTTTGGTAACTACTCACCAGAAGCATTATCTAATGAGGTGGTTTAGAAATTGCTAAAATATGAAATGAGGATACAGATCAGCAATGTGTGTGGTCTTTTATTTATTTACTTTTTTCTCTCTCTATCCTTCCCTTTCCTCTGTACTCAAAATAAAGCAGTGCAGTTTGAGGAAACATGTCATGGACATAAAAATTTCTATGTCATGCCCAAAGTGTTGAGCCAAGAGACTAGGCAACAACTATCCACTGGACTGCTGCCACACTCAATATTGGCTCCCATCTGTACCCATCTAAATCCTAGACCACCCACAGGAATGAGGAAAAAGGGGCTACTGTTAGTCAGCAGTTGCCAGTTACTGACTACATTTAGCAGTAGGGCATTTCACTTGAATCAAAAGGTAGCCAAACAGGGTTAAGAGGAAAAAGATATCAAATTCTGTCTATGAGATAGAGTACTAATGAAAGAGTAGTCTAAAAATTAATAGGTTTCCAAATACTTGAGGCAGAGAAAGACTTCATGCTTTCCTGTTATTAACACCCTGTTTGTTGTTAATGAATCAGGAAGTTTGCTGAAACAAGTTTTGAATTTCAATTGTGACATATCCTATTTGTTCACAGTGTGGTTTTTAAATTACATTTGAAAGTTATATAACTTTTATATCTGATCAGTAGCAATTATTTCAAATAACTGAGATGCTTTAGGAAACAGAATTATCTCACATTATACATAGTTATCTAAAGAGTTGATAACCTGTCTTCTCATTGGTTTTAAGTCACGAGGCTCACAAGAATGCAGCTTAACCACTATGCCTTATCTTGTTCATATTTATCAAAAATTTCCCTTTAAGTTCTCCTTTGAGAGTTTAGGAAGTCAGGTTTTCTCTTTGACATCTCATGTTCCTTCTGTTCTACATGCTCCCCAGAGGAAAGTATTAAGGAGATATGGTGATGCCTGCCAAATTATATCTTAATTATGTGCCAAACCATATCTCCAGATTCCCTTTGATTTTAGAGGCAGAGGAGTCATTCCCTTTAATGAGTAGGCCAGGAATAAACATAAAGAAATACCCTATATTCTCAGGGGTTTTGATAAGCATAGGTTGTTAAGTGATGAAAGTTTGGAAATACAAAAAAAAATCTATTAATAAATAGCACATCTCTTACTGAACTTATAGGCTGAATAAATCTTGCTTTACCATAGTGAGGTATGTAGAGATGATAAGGTTATTCTTATTGACTTTGAATTTCTCTTAAAAAAGAGCTGTGAAATAGACAAGCATTCAGTTTAATCCAATTTTTCTTCGTCTTTCAACTATTTTAAAGATTCCCTGTTGTGCATTCCATCAAACAACTTTTGATGGTTTTCCAAACATCTCCACCTCTGGCCTCACTTATTAAATTTCCTGCAAGTACCACCACTGGGAAGAAAAATATGAAGAACTTCAGTTTCCTAACTTAGTCTTAGAGAATTTATTTTAAGCATTTCACACCTGCCACTCTAACTAAATATTAAAGAAAAGATCTTCAGGACTACTTTTTGGATGAGGCTTAGATAATTGGGTAATATATGTCATTAAGTAAGTAATATGATTAGAAAATAAAAAGTAACAGTGTTCCCACTCTCTAGAATGGAAAAGAAGGAGAACGTCATATTTAGACCATAGGAAAAAATGTAGAGTATTAATGCTCTCTTGTCATTTTAACTCAGGCACTCTACCAATTGAGCCATGCCTCCAACTCGTCTTGTCATTTTAAATTGAATTTTAGCTTTTTTTCTTTCAATGAGGGTTAACATTGTTTTTAAAAATTCAAATACGGAAATATCAAAATGTCCATAGTGAGTAGCAGTACTGTCCTGCCCTACCTGTCTTTACTCTAACCCTGCACACTGGAGGCAACCATTTCTTCTAATAGTCATCTCCATATTTCTGAATGCTTATATTTCATTATATTTCTCTCATAAATTATATTTCTTTGGTTTATAGGTTTTAAGCATTATAACTTATTAGGTATTTTGACTTCCTATCATAATACATAGGGATTTAGTTCACTTACATCCTTAGTCCTTTTTTTCTCCATTCTATTAGCTTTATAAACTTGTAGAACTATATTTCCCAGCGTTTTCTTCATTGTCACAGAGAAAACATTAATATTTTCATGGCATCCTGAGATAACCTAAAGGGAATTTGAGAATATCCCTATTAGATTTGGTAAAGAATTATTTACATAGCGTATACATTTGTGAAAATAAAAATGAATGCAAAGTAGTAGGGGAAGTATTAAGTATTAAATTTATATAAAATGGAAAAAATGTCTTCAAATATTTAGATGAGAAATTTGAACTTGCCTGCTTGAACATAGCCTTTGAATCAGATTTTATGCTTGAATAGTTACATATATTTCCTGATCAATACTTTCAAATGATAATTTTTTAATCCTTGGTAATCATTGTCATATGCTAGCTAATGACCCCAAAAGACATCTAGGTTCTAATCCCTGGAACTTGTGAATATAACCCTTTATGATGACAAGATTTTGTTAATGTGATTTAGGATTTT